CGTGGTTCACCTGTATCCACGAAACCCATGGAAATTGGTATCCAACGAATAATAATGAATCCACAGTAAATACAAAAGTGCTGTTCATAAACAAAAAGGACATTGAGGGATTCCATTTGACAGCATAAGGAACTTGTAATATTGAACCTTCATTTCTTTGTTTTGATTTAATAACATATATTCAAGTTAAACCAATCCAACTTTACTATTGTGAGACTGTAAGTTTTTGCTAAAATAGGCTACAGAAAATATAGGTGACCAGATTAATCAGGTGCTAAACTGGGCTATAATGATGGCGCTAAAATGTCCAGAAATTAAGTTTTAAATTTTTTCCCTAAAATGTCCTGCTTTTAGGTATGTTGGGGCATCAAAAAACATTTCCTCTAGTTTAAAAAATAAAGCAAAAAGTAAAATAACAACAATACCGAACTCCAAGGAAAATTCAAAAAGGAAAGTTCTTATCAAATGGCAAAATAAAAAGCTCAAACACATCAAACGAATGAAAAACAACGGTCATATTCATGACTTGGTACAGGCATTTCCTTATGTAGAAAATGGTGGATTAAAGGGGTTTCATGCTATTAATCAACACTTTACTCTACTTTTGACAAAAATTCGAACAGAGTGAATACTATTCCATTATTCTTAATAACATCAAGGTAAAGTTGATTTATTATAATTATACAGGTTCATATACATTTAATCTATTATTCTTATTATTCTTTAATATAACCATTTCAATCTAAGCTAAAAAAATTACCTCAAAATTTCTCAGTTCATGACAAAAAGCTATTTTTTCAGACTATATATAAATTTGAAGAGAGATTCATTACAGAATACTTTTTTTCTAGAATTTTCCATGATATTTCTGGAATCTTGTTATAGACTGATATATTATAACAAAATTATTTCTCATTCTTGTTTTAATGACAACTGTATTCCATTAACAAAATGATCAAATTACACCCTATAGAAATTATACAGATATATCAAATGTTCAATATACCTAAAAAAAGTCCCCACAATTGCAACAACACACTCTTCCCTTTTGAAACCAAACCAATATCTTTAGACAAGATTTCCCAGTAACTAGTTGGTTTACAATTTAATACTGCTATAAAAAATCTGAGAGTTTAAAACAACTGCTGCTAGAATGCTGTACACAGACAAGATTTTACATCAGAAGATTTAGTACTTTAAGCTTGCTTTCAGCTTTTATAGAGTATAATTTATTATTGTTTACATGTACCTATGTTTTTGTTGATGTCAACACTGAGGTTTTGAGTTCAAGCCCCCCTCCCCCTTCCCAGGTGGCAGGTGTGTTGGACTCGATCTTAATTGACAAGAAATGCTAGTTTCCTTCTTCAGGGATGTGGTTCTCTCTGGGCCACCTTCCTTCTTCCACCAATAAAAACTGCCCGCCATGATATAGCCAAGAGAGCTGAAAGTGGCTTTAGGCACCAACAATCGATCAATTATGTACATTCTTCTTTGTATTTTTTGTCATTCCCCAAATAGAGATTAAAATCGGGCCAATTTTATTGTGAAATTCTAGTTTAGACCCACCCACCCCTCCCCACCTCCATTTTCATATGAATGTCCCAGATAAGGAACTTTGTTAGTAGTTGTCGTGAATCATATCTTAATGTTCATTGTTCTTTAGGATATGTTAATAACAATTCTTTCATTCATTTGCAGTTTTCTTGACTCAAGGCAATTCAGAACATCTCATATTGTACAGACACAGAGGTCTTTCTATTTATCTTTTTGTTAGGTTTCTGTCTTCTTGATGTATACCCAACATCTCTGAAATATAAGGATCAAATTTCTTGTGCTCAGTTAATGATTCTTATGCCAAGGTGATAACGTGACATATAGATTTGTTTTATCATTTTTCAGTTGTTTAAGTTTTAGGTTTCTGATTTCTGAATAATAACTGTAATTGGAAATCTGGGTCATCAGACAAAACTTTTTAAAGTAGATGACCTGTGAATAATTCATGTCAACTTGGATCATTGGAATCTTTGAAAAAGCTAAAAAAAAAATTTGGTCATATAGATAAGTTTCAAATTGTCTTCTTCTACAACATACAGTATAATCTATTTGACACTGTATGAACATGAGGTTTTGACATTTAAAGGAATAAGAGCAAAATAATCTGCATGTACATATAGAACCAGGCTGTAAAGAATAAGGTCTAATAACAGAATGAGGCTGTAAAGAATAAGGTTTGATAACAGAATGAGACTGCAAAGAATAAGGTCTGATAACAGAATGAGGCTGTAAAGAATAAGGTCTGATAATAGAATGAGGCTATAAAGAATAAGGTCTGATAACAGAATGAGGCTGTAAAGAATAAGGTCTGATAACAGAATGAGGCTGTAAAGAATAAGGTCTGATAACAGAATGAGACTGCAAAGAATAAGGTTTGATAACAGAATGAGGCTATAAAGAATAAGGTCTGATAACAGAATGAGGCTGTAAAGAATAAGGTTTCATAACAGAATGAGGCTGCAAAGAATAAGGTTTCATAACAGAATGAGGCTGTTAAGAATAAGGTCTGATAACAGAATGAGGCTATAAAGAATAAGGTCTGATAACAGAATGAGACTGTAAAGAATTAAATGTCTGATAACAGCCCTTTTTAATGAAAATTTTGTTACAAGATGAAATTATTTTAAGACAACACTTGATGAAATAAAGAAAGAGAAGATAGAATTGACCACTGAAAGAAAAATTGGTTCGCACATCTATAGTTTTAGCTGTAAATTATTTTAAACATTTTTAAGGCCTAAGCACTCACACATAAAAACTGTATACTTTTATCCCTAGCTTTATTACCAATGAGTGGATAAACCTTCCTTTGTGGATTGTTAGTCCAGTAACATGGTACTTAAAAAACACTAAAATATTGGACATTTTGTTACAAACATTTAATATTAATCCAAGATTCAGATACTAAAATCTTTATGAAGTTCTAAAACAAAAATATAAGACTGTTAAAACTCCATGCGTATGCTTACTGATGTTAAGCCATTATCATAACTTTGGACTGCAAATTTTAATGTTCCGACTTAATCTGAAGAAATTGAAAATTTATGGACAACGTAATTAGATCTTATAGTCTGAAATTCATCTGCAAACTAAACTAACGATGTTAATGAGGATGATAATAATATAAAACAACATACAGTAATTCCATCTAAGTTAGTTGAAATAAAATCAATACACACAAGAAATTGATAATTTGAGATTTATTCATAAATAGTAATACAGCTGATCAGGGGTTATTTCAGGTTACAGTCTAAATTTAACCTTTTATCATTTACAAATAAGGGGAGAATACAGGATTATTAGAAAGGGGGCGTAATTCCTGATAACTGAATATTTTTTGGAAGATTTTATACTAATAATTTATATATCAGATTTTTTCGAATGCTGACATTATGGTTTCTTAACCACCAACTGTCTTTTAAGGTCATTTCATGTCACAATTTTTTTACAACTTCAATACTCTAAACGAGTTCAATTTGTCTAAGAATCGGCCACTGCAACCAATTTGCTGAGTCAATTTCAATAAACTCAACTAACTCTATATAGTTGATTAGTGCACATCTGTCATGATGGATTTGGTTGTTATTTTTAGGTCCTTTTTGGTCAGATAGTTCTTCAACTGTTTCGGTATTTATAACATCCTTGGCTTCAAATATTTGGTCTTGACTGGTCCTGATGAAGGTAAATCCAGAAAAGCACTTCAGACATATGAATTTTATATTGTAATTGTTTTCATTTTTTTCTCAGGGAAATCAAAATAAATGCCTATGAAGTTTTTAAAGGGAAGTAACTCTTGTGTTTAGGAACAAGTAGTTAATAATTTTAAAGGGATGTGACTCTTGTTTAAGTAAAAAGAGAAAAATTACTTATAGAACTACTGCATGATAAACATTTTTTTTTTTAATAAATGTATCTTTCACTATTTCATCTTATCAATCACCTTTCTTTTAGTCATACTTGGGTATTAATTTACCAGTCTTAATTCTTTTTAAAACTGGTCCCTTTGTATTCTGATGCTGATGCCTTTCACTTGAAAAATCCAAAACCTGAATATCATAACTGACAAAAAAATCCATAGTATTATTCTATTTCACAAAAAATATATAAAAAAAAAGTTATACAATACTAAAATAAGACTGGTAAATTATCATTATCATTTATTATTTGATTAACATTAAATCTCTGGGAACACACAGGGTCCATATAAAATACTTTGTAGGTCAGTTGCCAGAGTAAGGTCCATTTTTTCATGGACCCCATATATACTCAGGTATATTTCTTTAAGTCATTATATAATGAATTCAACCCCCTTTTAATGTCTCATAGGACTTATTTGTTGTACATATTGCAATTTTTGCTCATGTGCCAGTCAGTGTCTTTTGTAAAACCTGAACATTTTCAAACTTAATTTTTCTTTTCTTTTACATTTAGTAAATTTGCATTATACTGGTGTTTTAAATCATTGGCTTCTTTAACCTCCGTAATTTAACATTAATCCAAGCTGTGTTTTACTCAATCATTATCTGCCCTACATAGCAATATGACATGCAGAATAACCTTGTATTAGCTGGCAATCATTTAAGGAATGTGAAGTCACAATAGTAAAACAAATAGAGTAGCTAAATAAATGATATATAGTCCAACTGCACTATTAATAGATCAAATATTTCAGTCCAATGAACCAGTAAATAAATAGAAACTGGGGATTGACACAGTATGTTAATAATATCACAGAAAATAGAAAACAGAGATTCATTGACAAAAGGTTTCGAACTGTTAAAAATTAATAATTTCAGAATGATTTTTTTATATTTCCAATTATAAACTGCAGAGCTTTATAGAAAAATAAAAATGATGGTTTTGATGTGAAAAAAGGTCAAGATTAGTTTTGTCACACATATATATAAATTGAATCAAATTGAATGGAAAAAATATATATCACTTACCCGAACTTCAATTTTCAAATATTTATCTGATTTCTTTTGCTTTAGTCGTTGTATGAACTGTTCTGCTGCAATAGGTTCCTTCTTTACTGCTGTTACAGCCTTTTCTTCCTTCTCTGTTGAAGAATCACCAAATCCAAATACAGACTTTAAATTTAAAATTTGCTGACTTAAAGCAGAAATTAAACGTCTTCCCATCATTTAGGTGACATTTCAGTCTTCAATTTATATCTTTATACTCATGTTGAAATATAAATTCTTGTTTTGCATGAAATGAATATGAATAAAAAAATAAACCGTTTGTTTTTTATCACAATGTCACATGACAAAGAAACATTCACCATCCATTATATAAAAACTATCAACGATCAACAATAAATGCTCATAAATGCCCGGAACACAAAAATTGCCTAATGACCATTGTCGTTGTAATAAAATCCATTTTCCAACAAATTCCACATTACAGCACTTATGTGTGGGAAACAGACATACATGTCACATTACTCTTAAAACAATTACTTTCTTCCACATGTCAATCAATGATTTTACAAAGCATTGTTTACAATCAATTCAACACAGTCTCTTTTATAGGTAAAAGGTTCATTTTCTATTAAAAAACAACATCTGCTTTTGTTAAATCCTTTTTTCTACTACAGCATACACAGACTAAGTAAGCCATATGTTTGTAGTATGTTATATTAACGTATTGTCAATTTAAAAGGTAATATTGAATTTTTCACGCTGTAATCGACCAATAGTTTAGCTCCTGTATCCTTTGATATGATCAATTCAATGTTTACTTTTTTCAGTAGTTATTCATATAAACAAATGATCATTTTTATATTGTTTATTTGGCCTTTTTTATTGATTAGATTATTTCTAAAGTTTCAGTCATCAATAATTTATCTAGGATCCTATATCAATTTTAATAGCCAGATACTAATATTATTTTAGTATGAAGTTCATAAAGGATGTTTTTGGTGAGAAATAGTCAGCTAATACCGACATTTGAAAATACTATTGTTAACAATGCATTATAGACATTATAATGAAAGTCTTAAACTTATGTGATAATAAAATGCCAATAAATTCCAATTGATTTAGTAGAAAATATCTAATTCATGCATATTGGATGAATTAAATCGGCTGGAAAGTCGAACAAATATAGAACTTCAGTAAACAGGGAGTATCTGATTTCTGTCCGATAATATTGGTCAGTTTTATAACCTTAATACATAGACAGACTTCCAGGAAAATTAACACTGTTGCACAATACATATTACACGTAATAGATGCCGTCTGCTGTAGTTTAAATGATATCACTCAAGATACTATAACTTAAAAGATACTTCATCAAATAACCCAATAGCATGGTTGTGGAAATAACATGCCCGATTTGCCAAGTAAATATGATCCAACTACTTGTCTAGGATAAATGATTTCTGTTATAGCACAACCAGTAGGGACATGCCGAGAAAATTTCAGGAAAAACAGATTTTTGTGTAGTAATGAAGAATTTTGATATTTCCACATCCCTGTCAGTGGAACAACAGAATGAAATCCCTGTCTAAAAAACTTAATTAGTTTATGATTGCTGCACCTCATCCTGGATCCAATATATTTTCTCAGGAACATTGAGATACCATAATTTAGCCACTATGTTTTAATGGACAAATACTGGAAATAATACAAATTAAAAAACAAATATATCACACTTTTTTAAAGAACAGATTAAAATGGGGCGTCAAGAAATATTACTATAAAAAATCTATATATGTAAATTGGTATTTAATCACAAAAGCTCAATTATTACTATCTGTAGGAAATCTGATCTGCTAACTATTCAATACAGACATATTATATCAAAATAAATTGTCAAATATTATTGCGTACTGATTGATGCATTGAATAATTAATGATTTTTTACACTTAAACTGGAAATGTTTTATCCTTTGTGTGTTATAAATCACTTCAGAGTGGTCAATAGTACTCTTGTCGACCATTCAGTCATTTAATCACAAATAGAAGAGGGTATTCACTTCATCATACAGTTTGAAATATGTGTTATTATATTATAAGATCTTGCATGCAACCTATAATTATTATTTTCGAAGGATTTTAAATTATGATATATGGCTTTGTGTTCAGCTGAAAAAAAAACATGGCACCAACGTTTTTCCTTTAATTTGTTTCACAAAACAAATTACAACAAAAATTCGTAAGGGTTCCGCGGAACCCAGTGTCTCGCCTACTTTTGCTGTTAATCGCAGGCTCAACAAAAATGAGGGAAAAAATTAATAAAAATATTCCTCTCTATACTATCTTTTGATTGTAAGTAGCTTCTGTCCAAGTTTGGTAAAAATCCAGGATAGTTTATGAATCTAATAAATGTTTTAAAAACTTAAACTGCAGACTGTATGTAATGTTAACTGGAAGAAAAACTAAGTCCATTTATAAGTAAAATACGGAAAAAATGGAACAAATTTTTAACAAAATTTCCTTCTAGATACTAGCTTTTAATCATAAACAAGCTACTGTCCAAGTTTGGTACAAATCCAGGATAGTTTAAGAAAGTTGTTAAAATTTAAAAAAAACTTTAACCACAGAGTGAATGTAATGTAAACTGGCAGAAAAACTAAGTCCATTTATAAGTTAAATACGCATAAACTGGATTTTTTTTTACAAAATTTACTTCTGGATACTATCTTATGATCATAAACAAGCTTCTGTTCAAGTTTGGTACAAATCCAGGATAGTTTAAGAAAGTTGTTAAAATTTTAAAAACTTTAACCACAGAGTGAATGTAATGTTAACTGGCAGAAAAACTAAGTCCATTTATAAGTAAAATACGGAAAAAATGGAATTTTTTTTTACAAAATTTACTTCTGGATACTATCTTATGATCATAAACAAGCTTCTTTCCAAGTTTGGTAGAAATCCAGGATAATTTAAGAAAGTTATTAAAATTTCAAAAACTTTAACCACAGAGTGAATGTAATGTTTCCTGGTAGAATAACTAAGTCCATTTATAAGTAAAATACGGAAAAAATGGATTTTTTTTTTTACAAAATTTACTTTTGAATATTATCTTATGATCATAAACAAGCTTCTTTCCAAGTTTGGTAGAAATCCAGGATAATTTAAGAAAGTTATTAAAATTTCAAAAACTTTAACCACAGATTGAATGTAATGTTTCCTGGTAGAATAACTAAGTCCATTTATAAGTAAAATACGGAAAAAATGGATTTTTTTTTTTTACAAAATTTACTTTTGAATATTATCTTATGATCATAAACAAGCTCCTGTCCAAGTTTGGTAGAAATCCAGGATAGTTTAAGAAAGTTATTAAAATTTCAAAAACTTTAACCACAGAGTGAATGTAATGTTTCCTGGTAGAAAAACTAAGTCCATTTATAAGTAAAATACGGAAAAAATGGATTTTTTTTTTTACAAAATTTACTTTTGAATATTATCTTATGATCATAAACAAGCTTCTGTCCAAGTTTGGTAGAAATCCAGGAAAGTTTAAGAAAGTTATTAAAATTTCAAAAACTTTAACCACAGAGTGAATATTTGTGGACGCCGCCGCCGACGGAATGTAGGATCGCTATGTCTCGCTTTTTCGACAAAAGTCGAAGGCTCGACAAAAATAACTGATGTAAGTCCATTAAGTAAACTTACTCATAAGTCAATTAAGTAAACTTACTCGTTAGTCAATTAACACAACTTACTTGTAAGTCAATTAAGTATACTTATGATCAATTTCAGTGGAAACATTTTTGGTGAAACATACACAGGTATCAACCCTGATCATCCCAACATGGCAGAGACCAAATAAGCTGGAAGTATTTTTTCATGATGTATTTCTTTTACTTAATGCTCAGTCAAAAACTGAGCAGGCGATACAAAACTTTATGTTGGCATTATACCAGTTATCACAGGGTTAGATTTAAACTTTTTGTTATAAGGTAGAATTTGCTCACGTTATATACATACAGCAATTTAATTTAACAATTGGTAATTCAGAAGTTGTAATTTTGGTAACTGAACAATTGACTAGAATAAACTAGACTGGAAAAGTTTGAATACATGATTAGTTGTTATTGTCTGTGAACTAGCTTTCAGTAACTACAATGAATCTCAGATTGTTACTTTGTTTCTTTAGTCTTTTGTTTGTTTTTTGTGTGCTTTGTGTCAATCTGATTAGTTCAGTCTTTTTCAACTGATTTTCATAGTTTGTTCTTAAGTTATGCTGTTACACTACTGTTTCAGGTTAGGGGAGGGTTGGGTGCCCAAAATCATGTATAACCCCTCCACATTCTGTATGTGCCTGTCCCAAGTCAGGAGCCCAAATAATTAAGCATTTGTCGTTTATTGTATTGTACATAAATCAGGCAGTTGGTTGTCTTGTTTGAATTGTTCTACATTTGTAATGTCAGAGCCTTTTATAGCTTGCGATAGTCAGTATCAGTTTTGCTCATTGTTGAAGGCCATACAGCATACCTGTCAACCTATGACAATGAAAATGCAGGTGATGTCACCTGCATAGAAGAATGAAATCTCAGGTCATAACGCGTACGAACTTTTTCGTGCTGAATTTCAGTATTTAGGGGACATTTTTCTTATAACTTATATCAAAGTTTCCAAAACATTTCCACATGGTTAAGTAATTTAAAATTGTACATATCATTATTTCATTGCACCTGGAGGCCATTGATAGATTTGTGTTTCATTGCCTTAATTCCTGTTCATATTCATTCCATGACATACAATGTGCCAATTTGTGTTTTCTTTACAAACATTTGTGCAGCTTTTAATCAGTAGAACATGTCAATAGTTGATATTAGAGTATAATAAAATAAAGTTAAACAATTAAAGGAGGAATAGATGAAAAAAAGTAATTTTCAAAATTTTTATTTTCTAATTGTTCTAAGGTAGAACAATAAGTAAAAGTATTATTCTGATATGTTTGTGCATTCAATTCATTTTAGATTTAATCTTTTTACAAAAAAAAACATAAGTTTAAGGAGTATATTGTGAATTGACAAAAAAGGGGAAGTAACTCAAGTTGTTTTTAAAACCACTTTGAAATACACAAATTATTTACGACCTAAAG